TAAGTGTCATACACTTGAAGCAATAGGATGATTTTAAACTATATGTATAATCCTGCAGTGAAGAATTATCTGGTCTTTAAAACAGACAAATAGCTTAAATATTATAAAGGTTATTAAACTTTTTTAAAAACCGTGATGCACCAAAAAAAATGATCAAAATGACTGCTTTATTCTCAGTTTTTGCAAATTTTTATGAGCCCATGTATAGCAGCATTGGAGTAAGTTTTTAAATATGAAAAAAATTAGACCACAAACGCTTTTTATTTTTACAAAGCTACGGCTTTTCTCCATATTGACGTCTTGTGCCATTTTCAAAGTAAGCCTAGACAGCATTGGCTTTAGATAGGCTAAACTTGGCCTAACAGTCATGAGTAACAGTTGCAAATTAACAGGAGCAATAAAAATAGCATATTTCTCGCACAAAAGCATCATTTCATTTTACGACGGAGCCGCCGAGAAACAGCCTTAAATGAGAAAGAATAAAAATGATGAAATATTTTTTATTTTATAAGAGTTAAGTAATTTTCTTGGACATGTGTCAGAGGTGTTGCTTTTTTTCAAAATTCTTTCACACATTAAAATATAACTAATAACTAACGATTTGTTAAAGATATTGTCAAGTAAGGATTCTATTTAATCTTTATACTCAAATTTTTTATTTGTAAACATTTAGACTTAAATTTTTAAAAAAAGAAAATCTTTTCCTTTTTTGTGTTGCAGTGCTCGAAAAAAGAAAAAAAAGAAAAAAGAACGGACCGCACTGAATAACCTTTGGTCTAATGATCGGATCTTCACGTTCGTTAAGACTCAATCTTAATAAGGGGTGATCTCAAGAATCTTAATTAATTAGTATAAACAATATTTTAAGTTACAAAATCAGACACAAAACGCACTTTATCTTAACAAACATACCTTTTTTCTGAAGGATGTGGATTTTTGAATCGCAATCTGGGAAATATTGGATTGAGTAAACAGTCATTGCGGTTTTGTTCCTACATTTTTCAAGGGCATATATTTTCATAATGATTAAAGGCTAATAAATGATAAATGTTCGTTTAATGTCTTCTTGCCATCGGTGAGCTTCCCAATGTTTCGTTCGTAAAAGGACCTGCTTTCATTCGGACTGGACAAGGTCAAAACTGGACAAGGTGTTGATTTACAGCATCATTTGAATTTAAACGTTGTTCCACGCAGCAAGTTATGAAAAGAGTGAAACAAGTTGAAGTCTGATGACGCAAGATCAGGTGAGTATCGTGGGTCTGGAAACACATCCAATCCAAACTGCAATTACCATTGAAGAGTCACCAAATATGCATGTAGTCTCGCGTTGTCGGGATAGAACACTACTCCTTTACGATTGACGAGCTCAGGCCGTCTCTGGATGACAGCTTAGTTTTCAAACTATCCGATTGCCTAGATTATGGATGGTAGACCGCGTAAAACTAAGTGCAGATGGCGCTAGGGGTTAAAATTCCTCGTCAGACTTCTGGGTTTCTACATCCGACTAATTTTTAAGCCTAAACTTGAAAAAACGCACCATTCAAAATTATTATATTTGGAGTGTTTTCACTGCAACACGTTCTTTCAGTCGAACTTTCAACGAAGCAAACAACAAATGAATACGGAAGATTCTGCAAGCTTGTAAAGATGCTACCCAAAAATAACAAACGGTGCTATTTTGCACAAATATAGCCAAATAAGGGATAACACACAAAATATGGCAAACTTACACTTTATTTATGCTGTGATATTAATTTTGTTAAATTTGTTTTAGCCTCACGGATTGTTGGAATTTATAAATTGCAGAAAACTCTTATGTAGAGAAAGTAAAATTACGCTTAAATTTATACACAAATCACAATAATAAAACTTCCTAGAATATTAAGCCTGTTCACACGTCGCCTCGTAAGCATGACATAAGCGGAAGGATACACCGGAAGTTTTCTAAATTTCTTCCGGTTTGAGGAAGCTTGTCATTGCTTACATTCAGTCAACCATCCAAACATCTGACTTGATTGATCCGTTCTTTGGTTGGAGTTCAAAAAACACCACACTCTTCCAATCCTACCACACTAAGCGCATAATCTTCTGGTTTTGAAGTCGTTGATGGCGAATCTTCAACCTTACGTCTAAAGGCTTGTTTGCACGGTTCAAGTTCTTGAATCCAAGAAATTGGAGGGATTTCTTTGTCCAAGAAATTGGATGATTCGTCGACACTATCCAAGTTCTTGAATGTCACTGATTCGTCGAAAGAAAAACTTGCGCATGCGCATTGTTCATATTCAATATTAAAAAAAATACTTACATAAGTTTAAAATTACTAAATAAATTCAAATAAAATCATAATAACATAAACAAACCGCAACAGATCAATTTATTTGGACTAAAATATATGAATAGATATGCAAAATGACATAATCTGCTGCCTGCTTATTGACGTCATAAAACCTAAGACGCTAATTGGTTAAAGGAGGAAAAACTTGGATGGAAAGTAGAACATGCTCTACTATCGTGCAAGAAGTTGGACCAAGTACTTGGATGATTGTTTACACGATCCAAGCTCAAAGCAAAACAAGTTTCCATCAACATCAATCAGATTCTGTCCAAGAAATTGGATCGTCTAAACAGGCCTTAATACAGCTTACGCACCATATTGCTGTAAACAATCTATTTCTCATTCCCAGTTATCATTCTTTTCAAAAAAGGTTCACATTTTATGAGCATATCGCAGATGTCTCGCCGTGCCTTCAAATGAACTTTTTCGAATACATAAAGAGTCCAAATTTTGAACTTGCTTACGTATCTTACTTTCTTTCGATTGACGTGACTTTTTTGACTGATCTTCATTGTCTCTGCAATCTCTCGAGTCGTGCAACGTGGGTTTGGGCGGATCAATTTCGTTATTTTGTCATCATAAATGCGTGCTGGCTTTTCTGAACGATGAGCATCTTTCGAATCAAAATCAGCAGCTCGGAGGAAACTAAACCAATTTTGGTACCAGTTTTGGTAAACCATCGTCCTCGTAAACTTTAAGCATTTTTTCACAAGTTTGACACGAGTTTTACTTTCTACAGAAGTAAATATAGCACAAATTACCACTTTGATCTTCCATGTTCAGCGTGCTGTCGAATTTCCAAAACTCACCAAATAAGCTCAATTTGTTTTCTTCACAATGAAGCGTAAACTGTCAGCTATTAATAACGAAAAAAACTATGCAAATGTTCAAGTATTTCAAAAACTGCACTACTGCCATCTGTTGCGAAAAAAAAAAACGCAATGACTTTTCACTCAACTCAATATGATCCTCATAGTTTGGTCAGGAGAGCGATCCAAAGTTTGGATCGCATAATGTTAATTTTACTTTTTGCATATTTTGACATATCTCGAGAACTTTTTCATCGAATTAAAAAAATTTGGCACACAATTATAAAATTCGCTTAGTCAAAGACAAATTTGTTTATCCCTATAGGCGATGCTAGCGAGCTCTTAGGGTTTCAGTTTTGGCGGTTATATTGAAAAGGTTCATAAGGAAAAGTACGTGCTGCGCTTCATTAAAATTAAATTATTTAAATAATTAACACTTATTAATTTGTTTTAGTTACTAATTAATAATGCCGAGAATTTGTTTATATCCTGTTTGTAAAACCGGTTACGCATGAGATAAAATTAAATTGAAAATTGAAGGAAAGGAAGCTACACCTTTATTTGGCACACTAATGGTAAATTAAAATATTTACTTTGATGTGCTTTCTGTTAAGAAACCTCGCAATTATTTTAACTGAAAATACAATAAAGTAAATACTTTAAAAACTCATTTTTGAATCCTTAAAATAATTTTTGTAAGTATTCTCTTATGTAATTATGAAATGTTTCTGCTGCAAATATATATATATATATATTTCTTCTGCAATATAAGATTGTCTAAATTATGCAACATGCGCTGCGCCATACTTTTTTTTCCATAAATATATTGTTTTAGATAATCTGATGTCCTAAAATTCAATCTTAAACAAAACAAAAAGTTAAATAAATTTTAGTGTTAATTTCATTAAAATAGAAATGTCTATTACATGAGTAGTGAATATTTAGTTCATGTAAAATAAATATCAATAGAAATCAAAATTATCTCCTATTAACGTTTTGTTCCGACCTTTTGAAAAGTTGCCAAAACAATGGGAAACTCTATCATAAGCGAACATAATATGATTAAAGCTCGTGTTAGCCGATTATTTAAAGGCAATTATTTAAACAGAAAGTAGTTTTAAGTAAATACTTTATACTTATTTTCCCAACCGTAAAATAATGTTTAAAATTTACTTCGTGGAGGGTATATGATGGAGCTAACCCGCATTTGCGTTACATGTAGAGGAAAACCACTGAAACATCCCATGATTAGCCTGATAGCAAGGGGACTGTATCCCACGATCCATCTACCACTGAGGATATTTTACGTCACCACTGTGGTCGGTGCGAGCCAGATGCGGAATTCGTATCGACCAGCTATCGCTGGGATTTGAACCCAGTTCACCTCATAAGAAGGCGAACTCTCTATCCCCTGAGCCACCATGGTTCGCAACAAATTTNTTTTTTTTTTTTTTTTTTTTTTTTTTTTTTTTTTTTTTTTTTTTTTTTTTTTTTTTTTTTAGATATAGATTGTCTAAATTATTGGCGTTGCGTAACGTACACGACGCCGATTTTTTTTCCGTTTTCATAAATTTATTGTTTAAGATAATCTGATGTCCTAAAATTCAATGAAAAAAGTTTTTTTTAGTGCTAATTTTATTAAAATAGAAATGTATATTGCATAAGTAGTGAATAATTAGTGCATGTAACATTCATAAAAATAGAAATCGAAATTAGCTGCTATTAACATTATTGTTTCGACCTTTTGAAAAGTGGCCAAAACAAAGGGAAACTTTATCACAAGCAGACATAATGTGACTTAAGCTCGTGTTAGCAACAGCAAGGCTTTGAAGACAAAGAAAAATCGATATATCTCTACCCTAATTCTATGGCATTAGCCTGATTAAATAAGAACTGAAGCATGTCCCAAGAGTCAAGGTTAAATGAAGATCACATCTGTATAGATATGATTCAGAAATAGTTCTGGGACTTGATGAGATGAGGCGGAGATCTTAGCCAGCAAAACTCAGCGCTCTTTAGAAGTAATTTATCAGTATTTGTTTTCGGTTTAAAACAAAACTAGATATGGAAGGCACATGAAAATGATTTCAAATGCTTATTTATAGTTGTAATTTTGTAATTTTAGAAATTGTTGTAAAAAAATGTGCCACACTCTAAGGATATGTTGCAAACACAATTGGTAAAGGTAAGTTTGACAGATATTGCCTGAGAACTAGCGTTTAATATATTGGGCAATATTTGGTATTATTTTCTTAACATTTTTTTCAGTTTGTATACCTTTAGTAAGCAAATTATTAATTGGTTTTATTCTAGCTGATCAGAATTTTTCAAGTAACTTTTAGAAAACCTCTATAGCATAAAAATATCTTATGATCTAGTTGGTTTTTAGTTTGTTTCTTGCCCGAAATGTGAAGAAATACACTGTTAAAAGTATTCTACAATATGTAAAAAAGGTTAAAAATCAAAATTTAACATCGATATTTCAAAATTAAAGATAATTAAAAAATAATAATTGATTTTTAGAAAATAATAATCGATTAGTTAAGAAATTAATTTTAAAAAATTTCTTATCACATTTATAAGTTTATTTTATGTTAAGTGACAGAAATCGCCTTCTTTGTCATTGTTTAGAAATCCAACTTAGGAAGTAAATGTTAAATTTCAGATCATTATGTTAATTTAATATAAACATCTCTAGTTATTTTCAGTGATGCAACGAATTAGAATTTATCTGGATATCGGATATCCGTTCATCATTTCTTTCAGATTTTAAAGTATATTTTTCTCTATTGCAAACTATTTTATTTTAAATAAAGCAACTATATTACTATTATTTTCTAGATTTTTTAAATTTCTCCTGTGGAACTTTTTAGCACTCGTCTTTGTATTTTAACTTGATAATTATTTTATCTTTTTTTAAATGATTCGTTACGTTACGTTCATATTTTAATTAATATATTAATAATAATTGCAATCTAAGCTTCTTAAAGAAAAATTAAAGCTGAATAGATTTTAATTCGTTACGGACTACTATTGCGGATATGTACAGCAGGTTTTTTTTAATTTTTATTTATTTTTTTTTTTTTTTAAACCTTAAATAGTCAACCTTCTATCGACGGAACCCCGACTTAATAAATAAAGTTTATTGAAGTAATTGCGAAGAGGACTATTTTTTTAAAAAAATATATTAGAGAAGTGAACATTTTTCATTGTTTCATTATAAATAATCTAAAATTAAATTATTTGTACGACAGTTCAGTTTGTAAAACTTGTGCTAGATCTAGTCTAGACGTGAATTTGCTTTTGGTGAAAATGTTACTGTAAATGACCGAAATTGGTGGTTGTTGACTTCCGCTGGTGAATGTTGACAATCACATAGCCGCTTTGGTAAAAATCCAAACTATGTATTTGGTCTAGTTAAGTGCCATCTCCCAGTATACATGTCACCGTACTCTACACATATGTTTTTTATGGTTTAATGCCACTGCCCGGTATACATTTGTCCGATACTCCGAACACCGATGTTTTTTTTTAATCTATCCTCAGTAGATATTAAAATGTCGAATAAATATAACAATATCAACGAATATATTAATATCAAATCGGATATAACAAATATTTCGGACATTAACCAAAGCGACTACGTGATTGTTGACATTTATCGGTGAAATTCGACATTCTCTTGAGGTCGGTCATTCGGGGTAACATAAGCTGAAAATGAATCAAAGATGTCGAATTATGAGTACTTCAAAATGAAAACTTAAAAGAACTACTGTAAATGTTAAAAATTGTTACTGGGAAAACGTCTTTTTTTATTAAAGAATTCAGTTATTCCATTTTGATTTGATATCGCGATAGGAAATACTAATTGTCCGGTACTCCGAACACCGATGTTTTTCTTAATCTATCCTCAGTAGATATTAAAATGACGAATAAATATAGTAATATCAACGAATATATTAATATCAAATCGGATATAACAAATATTTTGGACATTCACCAAAGCGACTATGTGATTGTTGACATTCACCAATGAAATTCGACATTCTCTTGAGGTCGATCATTCGGGGTAGCATAAGCTGAAAATGAATTAAAGATGTCGAATTATGAGTACTTCGAAATGAAAACTTAAAAGAACTACTGTAAATGTTAAAAATTGTTACTTGGAAAACGTCTTTCTTTATTAAAGAATTCAGTTATTCCATTTTGATTTGAAAAGCGCGATAGGAAATACTAATGTATTATTTTATAAATGCTTGTTTTTTTCCTAATTTGTTCAATATATTGTTATTGGAAATATTAGATAATTTTTGAAAAATTTCATTTTTATTTTATTGGTATTTTACTTAAAGTAATTTCATAAAGGCAACTGAAAGATCAAATAAATAATGAATTATAGGTTGGATCCAAATATAAGAGGTTTCAAAACTCATCGCAGGTTATAAAAAGTATTAACTCACGAAACCTCGTCCATGGAACCCCAGGGGTACACGGAACACCATTTTTGAATCGCTGGTGCATAGAATATAACAGAAGATAACTTGTTTGTCTGAGTTAAGTCATAAATGATTCACAGGGAAAACTTTAAACTTTTATTTATATTGATAAACGAGAATTGAAATTTATTTTCTTTCAGATTAACTTTTAAAACTGTTGTATTCTAGATGAATTATATTAGCTCCTTACTCCTTTGTTTTTGACACAATTGAATTACTCCAGTAAAAGACACAGAGTACATTTTTACATTTTGATTTTTAATTTTTTTTGCAAATTTGTGTTTATCTATAGAATTAATCTATTCTGAAAACACTCTTACAGAATTTTATTCATTACTTCATTTATATATGATGTATATAAGTATTATAGATTAGATTTCATGTGCCAACCTATTTTATAAATTAGTTCTTTCTATGTTTTTCATAATCGTGGTATTTTTATATTTATGACAAAATAACTAGTATTAAAAATTAAAAAAAATACTAAACTTTGCAAGAAGTAGTGACTCTAAACACATAACAAATTAAGAAAATGCAACTAATTTGTTTTCCATAAGCAAAGTAATAAATACACAATTGTTAAATAACGTTGCAAATTAGCAACTATACTGCGCATGCGCGGAAAAGAATTAATATCTTCTTTCTTAATTTTATATTGAATCGTGTTTGTCAACAAATTAAAAAAGAAGTTCGATTTAAATATCTCAAAAATTTAGAAAGTTGCAAGCAATTTTCTAAATAGTTTTCTTACTTTTTTTAAGAAAGTTCTGAATTCTGAAGCTCAAAATTCTGAAGGATTCTCCACAAATTTCATTTTGTACTATTAATCGAGATTTATTAAGAATGACACCGGCATTGTTGGGATCATCACCTCATTGAAATACCTTTTCTTTCGCAATTTTACTTCCTTATACCATCACACATTGTTGAAAGGACAATCATTAGAGGGGTATAATCATTTCTTAATAAATCTTTTTTCACAGTACAAAATGAAATTTGTGTGAAACCACATATAATTTTGAGCTTTCTTGTAAAAAGTAAGAAACCTATTTAGAAAATTGCGTGAAACTTTTTAAATTTTTGAGACAATCAAATCGAACTTTGTTAGGTGCCACATACGGTTCACTACAAAATTAAGAAAAAAAGTTTTTAATTTTTTTCCGCGCATGCGTAGTATAAAAAAACTAATTTAATCACTCATATCTTGCTCAATTTTCAGCGAATGTTTTTCAAATTTTAAAGCAATAATTTTGTAATCAATATTAATGTGATCCAAAAGTTTTGTTGAGTCTTATTAAATATTTACAAAGTTATAGCAAAAAAAAAGTAAGACAAAAAAAAATTCGTTTTTTACAAAAATGGCCATATTTCTGTAACTATTTCTGCTAGGTTTGTGAAATTTCGGACAATTATTGCATATAATAATCAAAATAATAGTTATAAGTTACAATTTTATTACTGTATTTTTTAGTATAGGATGTTCATCCGTTTGTAATTTATTAATGATCCCTCAAACATCAAAAAGTTTTAAATTTCATTGATATGCATGAAAAATCGCAAGAACTGAACACTTCTAAATTTATTAACTAATTCTTAAAGTTTTTTTTTGAGAAATATCAAAAAATGTATTAGTATCGAAGTGTTTCTATTATTTTGTCCAACCCCTGGGTACATCTATATAACATAAAAGACTTTATTTTTAAACTTTCTCTAAACTTTCTCTTAAATAAAACTTCTTTTCAACCCAATTTCAATGTAAATACTACTGACTTTAAAATAACTTATATCATATTATTTATCTAATAACTTCATTTTTAGCTTTTAAAATAACTCAATATTTATTGAGTTATTTTATTATTGAGTCATACTCAATATTTATTGAGTTTAGTTAATAACAATATTTTATGTTAATCGTTACATTGACTTAAAATATTGTTAACTAAAATAACAATATTTTAAGTTAATGTGTTTTACGTATACGTTTTTAAGTCAGAACAAATTTTCAGCTGTGAACTTGCAACTTATTTAATTATTGTATATTTATTACTTTACTGATGGAAAACAAATTTGTTTTGTTTTCTTAAACAGTCATGTGTTTAGAGTTACCACTTTTGAAAAATTAGGCATCTTTTTAGATGTAATATTTATTATTTCTTAATAAATGTAACGATTATGAAAACTATAGAAATAACTAATTTATGAAATAAATTGGCACTTGAAATGTAATCCAGTTTTTGATTTTAGATATCATTCATAAAAAATTTAATTAAATATAAATTTACTTCCAAATGAATAAAATTCTTCAAGAGTGTTTTTTGAATCGATTAAAAAACTCCGTATAAAATAAATAAATAAATCATTTTCACAACAAAGAGTCCCAATTCAAATGCAGAAAGGAAATTATTAATAAAAATTGAATGAAATGTTAGAAAATACAATAATACCTTTTTAAACTACCAGCAAATTCGCCCCCAAAAAAAGTAAGAAATCAAAATGTAAAAATGCACTCCGTGTCTTTTGCTGGAGCAATTCAATTGTGTCAAAAACAATTAAGGGGCTAATTTAATTCATCTTGAATGCAATAGTTTTTAAAGTTAATCTGTGAGAAAATAAATTTCAATTCTCGTTTAACAGTATAAAAAAAACTTATCGAAATAAAAACCTGTTTCAAAAAAAAAGAAAAAAAAAAAAGAAAAAAATTTTTTTGAGAGACTACAGAAATTAAAAATATTCTCAGTTATTTATGTGATTTAAGAAAAATATAAGGAAAATGACAAATGTATTAATGAAGTAACATTGCTTGATTATTTAGCATATAATACACGATAAGTCAATTTTGAAATTGTATTTTGAATTATAAACAGTATTTTATAATTTTTCTCTAAAATAATATTTGTCCCAATTTTTTCACAGCTCAAAAATAAGAATATAAATTTATTTTAATAAACATTTAATTCAATAACAGTAAAACATTTTATATTCGCGTTTAAATGTTTATAAATTGGCACTAAAAGCAATCATGATTCCCGAAAATAAATAGATACTTATTTATTAATGTGTTACGATAATAATTTATAAGATATTATCAAAATGATCCTCTTTCACCGACTGATTGGATTAACCACATTGGATTTCATAAATCTGACATTTATAATTAGTGAACCTCTAAAACCCTAAGAATTACAATAGTTTATCAAACGCTTAAATTCTTAGCCATCTTTTTTTTCATTTATTTTTATTTATTTATTTTTATTTATTTATTTAGACTACTGTGAGACCGGGTAGCTAATTTACAATCCAGCTGTTTTTAACGACTCACTCTCTTCGGAGACTTTCTTCTTGGCTACAGTTGGTCGTAATTAAAATACAAGCTTTTATTTCTTTTAAGTATTGTTACCTGAACCTAAAAAAAGTCAAGTATTTATTATTATATAAGTTAAGTGTTATATAAAGTATTTATTATTACATAGTCAAGTATTTATATTATGTAAGAAAATGCCAAACAGGAGAATGGGCTGTTAAATGTCGTTGGATTGGAAAATGGCGTCCGGGCCAGAGGGTTGAGTTTGATGTCATGATTTGCATATTTTTTTAAAAACAATCACACCTATTTCAGATCCTATGATCATTTGCCAAGATATTTGATCGTTTTTGGACAACTTGCACAGTTCCCATTGATAATTCTTAGCATACTGTTTGTACCAGGGCTCGAAAAATCTCGGAATTTTTACGCACATCCGGAGATCTATTTCGACAACATACTTATGAATGAATATTCCGATCATTAATCCACCAAGAAAAATAAATGACATTAATTACATTATAACATCAATATTTTTATTTTTTTATAAGTAATAAGTATTATTAACAAAGATGTATTATGTGTTATTGACAAGAAATTATTAATAATTGATGGATTTAATGCAGTAAATTATTATTAATAAAAAGTAATAGGCTAAAAATTGTTAAATAATATCAGTAGGGGCACGTCTTTCAAGATGTTACCTTATAACGATTTATGTTTATTATCGTTGTGGAACAGCTGACCCAATTATTAGTTTACGAATTCGGAGAAAGTTCCAAAAGTTCCATGTCACGGAAATCAAAAAATAATTATTTTCTCATGCACAGCGTTTTGGGGAAACTATTTTTTAATAAAAATAAGCATGATTGGAGGGGAAAAAAGGATAAGCGTACTTTAATTATTCTTATTTTTACAATTACATTCAATATTATGATTATATTCAATATTATGAGGCTGATTCTTTTCCCAACGGTATTTTAGGATATTTCCGTTTGAACTTTTACATGCCCTATTAGACACGTAAGAGTAAAAAAATACATGCTCAATCAGAATTTTTACAAGTCAAGTAAAAAAAAATTCGAGTCCTGGTTTTTACTGTTTCCAGTGCTAATTTTAAAAATTTCTATTCTTATACTATAATAGCTCTTACAGTTAGCTGAACCAAGAACACCAAGAGGGGCAACAGACGACAGAAGTGTAATTGGCCATCCAAGAGCAAGAGTTCTGCCACCACCTCTATTTTCAAAACGATCATCTCCAGAATCGGATGAACATTTTGATGATCCCTATGACGTTAAATTCTCGACATTAAATCATCAAATGAAAAGTTCTTTTACTGAAAGAGGAAATACAGAAACACGTTTCTTTTGGATGATTGATCAAATGTCGTTCAATCAACTTTTTCGACTTTATGCAAGATTTGGTGACACGAGTAAAAGTGGAGAATATATGACACTCACTTGTAGCGATAAATGGTTAAGAAATGCTAAAGTATTGGACAATAGAAGAGTAACTACTACTGATACGGGAATTTATTTCAAACAAATTGCAAAGTAAGAACTGAAAAATTACATTATTTTCTATCACTAATGACTGTTCAATTAGTTGCACTTGCCATTTTCTACTTTCAACTAACCCTTTTCCAACCGACCGAAGGCTCCCCGTGTAGTAAATGGTGATTGGTGCATGTTGAAATTCTGTCGAGTCGCAAAGTCCTCCATGGTCCCATAACGACCTCTAGCGGTGCAGAATTGGAGATTGATCGTTCTCTGGTTCAGATCAAAATTATGATCTGTTGATGAATGAATGGATGTATGAATGGGTCAGTCTTATGAACGGGTGGTACGCATGGCTGTGACAAAAATCAAATTCTTGGCCATAGGTGGCACCACTGGAAAACAAGAACAATCGCACCTCCTCTGCCTTAATGGCCGAAAACAACAACAATAACAACTAACCATTTGGCGCAGAATTTTTATGAAACATTTTTCATTATTTTGTATTTAATTTCGATCAAAATAAGCGAAAAATATTGCATATAGCATTTTAATAGTTTATGAATATTAAATACAAAAATTGTCCTTGTCAGTGTGACCTGACAAACTGGAAAGAAACTTAAAATTTAGATACTTTTGATTATAAAGACGTGCTTTTTAATTTTTCCGTCAACTCTATTTTCTAAACGAACCACTCCAGAATCGGATGAAAATTTTGATAATCCACAAGGGGTTCAATTCTCAACATTAAAGCATCAAGTGAAAATTTCTTTTACTGAAAAGAAAAACACAAAAATAAGTTTTTTTTTTTTTGTTCCTTAGATGATCGATCAAATGTTTTTCAGGCAGATTTTTTGACCTTATACAAAATTTGGTTATACTTATAAAAGTGGCTAACTTTAAGCAATAAATGATTGAGAAATGCTAAAATATTGGAAATAGAAGAGTAACACTACTAATACAGGAATTTGTTTCAAACAAATTGCTAAGTAAGAACTAAAAAATTACATTATTTTCTATCAATAATGTCTGTTTAATTAGTTGCACTACCATTTTTCACTTTTAACTAACCCTTTAATGCAGAATTTTATTAAACATATTTTTCATACTTTTTTCATTATTTTGTATTTAATTTTGGTCAAAATATGTGAAAAATATTATATTTAGCATTTTAATACTTTATGAAACACAGCATTAAAGGTAAAAGCTTCCAAGCACGGCTCAATTCCAAACAATATTTTTGCAAATTTGCACTTATTTGCAGTTATTTAGATCTAAGCGACACAGTAATTCATCATTGAAATCTCTTTAATTTACAAAACCACATAATGATAAATTTTTGAATTTGAATTAAAAAAAAATTCAAAAAAAGTTTGTTTTCGGACTTCATATTTTAATATAAATATAATTCCGACAATCAAACAGATATTTTTGAGTAACCATTAGACTGTTTTTATCATTTTCAAATCCTAAAATATATTTCTGGCTGTAATTGAACGTCAGAAAAAATATATATAAGGTACACCGGTGTCCCATATGCGTCAAAGGGTTAACGAAAAGATTTTTACTTAGTTGCCAGAAAAGCTAACTAATTATTATTTTGAGCATATGCATTATTTTTTTAAACTAAAATTTAAATGTTTGTTTTTATTTTGAATGATACATAAGCTAATTTAGATGTATAGTTTTTTAATAAAAAAAAACTTTGTTTTTGTCCACGTGAGCCCTAATTGATGAAGCTAGTTTGGACTCGTCTTAAAACCTGTTATTTAATGCATTGTTACTTACAAAAAAGCAAATAAAAAAAATAGAACTACTTTTAGTCTAAAAATAGAGTCTAGAGTAAATAATCCTAAAAATCATTAAACTAATTAATGTTTAACCTAATTAATACAGAAACTTCTGATTTGCTTGTTCTAGCGAGAAATTTTTCTTGACTATTTAATGTGGTAGCAAATGTAACACTTTGCTATTTTATTTTTAGTACAATTAAGTTGATTTGCAATGATTTAGTCAACGTGATAGATAAGCAATATGCCACAGTTCGCTATCTTATTTTTAGTATGATAAAGTATATTTGCAATGATTTGGTTGCCGTGATAGATAAACAATTCGCTACACTTCGCTATTTTTTTTTTTTTTTAGTACATGATGATCAATGTTTTACAATACGATAAATAAACGATTATATGAAATATGTAAGACCGGACAATAGTGTTGTGAAAATTTTAAGTGAATGCAAAATTAAACGAGCCAAAACGTGCCAAATGAGCATACTTATTATTGTTGTTGTTGTTTCCGTGTCTATACATACAGTGCTAGTGCACAGATTAGAGTCCTCCAAAAGTCTTGATAGCAAGATTTGCCAGATTGCTGAGCATGATGGCCATGGAGAATTTTGATGGGATGTGCTCCAAGTTTAGAAAGGGAGCTGATAATGGCCTGGCAGTCAAAAACAAGGTCTGGAGTTAGTTGCAAATGAGGACAGTACTTGCAGATGGGATAGGATTTTATATTGGTGCGTGAGATCGTCATGCCTTTGAAATGTCTAGTACGTAGCCTAGCTATTGCAGAGGAGAGGTTTCTTGGGCAGTTTAGATCGGGGGTTGTTGCTTTGCTAAAAAGCTGGTTGTATATCCTTCGCCTGGCGACAGCATTCGCATCTGTACAGGTGACAGCTCGAGGTTGATCTTCGTCGCGTACTTCCTTTGCAAGGGCATCTGCGCGTTCCTTCCCCTAGATTCCAACATGAGCTGGGATCCACTGGAGAGTGCAACGGATATTCAGTAAATGGAGAATGATATTAATTTCTTGCGTTATTGATGTTTTACCGTTATGTATGGCATCGAGTGCTGATTTTGAGTCACACACACATCACAATTCCTTTTATTGGGTCTTTTAGAGAATGGGAGCGACAATGGACAAGAGCCTCTTTAATAACGATTAATTCGCTAGTGAAGTTCGAAGCAATTTGCCCAGTGGTTGTTTTGAGTTTGACGTCATTTCCTGAGGGGTAAGTGATGGAGATACCAGCACCACCTCTATTACAGTCAATATCAGAGGAACCATCTGTGTAGACTATTGTGCTATTTTCCCTGGAAAGTGAACGAACAGTGTCTTCACCTTTTTGTAATAATACTCGGGTTGGTTCATTCGTTGAGCATGGTTCTAGTAGGTTAGTACTGATTTTAGTATACATAGGGAGCTTGGAAGGAGAGACTTATTATTGAGTTTAGTGAAATGTTCGAAATTGAAACAGCTCTGAAATCATTTATAAATAAACATGGTGGCTTGATTACAGATCTGAGGACAATTTTTATCCTTAAAATAAATTTGGAAAGTTGAGTGCTGTAAACTTTTATCTAATTAAATTTTCGTTTGGAATATTTGATCATTATATGAACTAAATTTGAACATTTACATTCAGTTACATTTGAAGATGATGTGTCATGATGTTATTTTTGAGATTATTCAATTTTCAGCTATATTCAATAACGAGTACACGGGGTTCAACTGTTTATATTTTCAGGGAAGAAAGGATAACTAAAAATGAAACTCAATTCATCTTTATTTAATTATCAATTTTCATAGTTTATGAATTTTTATTTATTTAATTTATTTATTTAATTTATTTAATTATTCAATCGTAACCAACGCCACGGCTAACATTGCAAATTATTCATATTTCGAGCAAAAACATTTCTTTACATTTACATTCAGTCGTAAATTGAAAGGAGTATACTAGAAAAAAATGCTAATTTTAATCTCGTTACATAAATATGCTAATTAATTTGGGCAAACGATGAATTAGTTACAAAAATCAACAAAAAGTACTTTCTCTAAATATAAATGCCTTTTTTTAAAAGGATTTGGATTCTTGACGAGCAAAATATGAGAACCGTGGTGGCTCAGGAGATAGAACGTTCGCTTTCTAATGAGGTGAACCGGGTTCGAATCCCAGCGACGGCTAGTCGATACGAATTACGCATCCTGCTCACACCTACCATAGTGCTGACGTAAAATATCCTCAGTGTTAGACGGATCAGGGGTTAGACTCCTCTTGCCGTCATGCTAACCGTGGAAGGTTTTCGTGGTTTTCGCGGTTTTTCTCTCCATGTAACGCAAATGCGGGTTAGTTCCATCAAAAAGTCCTCCACGATAGCAAATTTCTAACACTAATTGATCCAGGAGTTCTTTTGTCTTCTGGATAGTGTTCGAAATTACAAGGCTACGGAGTTGAACATTTTTTCAAACCCACATTTCAAACTATGTCCATTTTTTCAAACACGCATTTCCCAATATGTCTATTTCAAACGTGACTTTCAAGCTATGTCTATTTTTAAAAATGCGCATTTCAAGCTATGTCTATTTTTTCAAACACCCATTTGAAGTTATGACCATTTTTTCAACCGCACATTTTAAACTACAGATGGATGTCAAAATAATATGAACACCTGTGAAAAAGTGTGACTTATTTCACACCTGCAGTACAGCCGCGCCACCTGCAACAGAAGTCTGCCACCTAGTGAGAGTGAAGAGGAAGTTATCAGTCTCTCAACATTAGTCACCTGTGTTGCATGAGTTTATCTAACTAGCTTTTGTAAGGTGAAATGTCTGACCTGTCAGAATTCCAAAGGAGGAGGATTGTTGGGGCGCGTTTAAGTGGAGCATCGGTGACAGAAACAGCAAACCTTTTGGGGTTTGCAAGAAGCACTGTATCAGCCGTTATGACAGCATACATGAAAGAAGGTAAGACGAAGTTTTCAAAGCAAAACAGTGGCCGAAAGTCAAAGCTTGATGATAGGGATAGATGTGTCTTGCAGCGTGTAGTAGCTCGAAAACACAAGCAATCGTTATCCGAGATAACATCAGACATGAACAGTCATCTTCAGGACCCCGTTTCAACAAGAACAGTTCAAAGAGAACTTCATGCAGCGAACATTTATGGGAGAGTGGCAATTCGTAAACCCTTGGTGACAGTAACCAATGCTTTCAAGCGCCGTCAGTGGTGTGGAGGTCACAAAGGCTGGTCCCCACAGCAGTGGCAGCAGGTAATATGGTCCGATGAATCATCCTTCACCTTATTTCAGCCCACCGGACGCGTTTATGTCTGGAGATCACCCAAAGAAGCGTTTGATCCTGAATGCCTCTTACCAACTGTGAAACATGGAGGTGGCTCCATTATGGTTTGGAGTGCGATATCTTGGCATGGTCTTGGGCCACTAGTACGTCTGCATGGGAGAATAAAATCTAATGACTATCTAAGCGTTCTAGAGGATCATGTTCATCCTTTTGTACAGACTGTATTCCCTGGAGAGCGAGCGATTTTTCAAGACGACAACGCCCCTATCCACACCGCTAGGTGCGTTCAAACATGGTTCGAAGAGCATGACAATGAAGTTGAGCATCTCGCCTGGCCCCCTCAGTCTCCGGACTTAAATATTACTGAACATTTGTGGCAATATTTGGAGTCTAAACTTCGTTCCCGATTCCCACCTCCAGCAAATCTTTTGGAATTAGAGGCCGCTTTGCAAGAGGAATGGCTTAACATTTCTTTAAACGTTGTCCATGACCTTTATGCATCGATCCCTCGTCGTATTAAATCTGTAATTCAGCCAAAGGGTGGCCCAACTCCCTATTAAAAGATTTTCTGATATTTCACAGGTGTTCGTATTATTTTCTCACCCATCTGTATGATCATGTTTTCAAACGTGCAATTCAAGCTATATTAATTTTTTCAAGCTATGTTCATTGTTTCAAACGTGACTTTTAAGCTATGTCCATTTCTTCAAACGCCCATTGAAAGCTATGACCATTTTTTCAAACGCAAATTTTAAGCTATGTCTATTTTTTCAAATGCGCATTTGAAGCTAAGTTAAAAATTAAAATTTCACCATCAATTTGTTTAACTTTTTATACATATTTCTTATAGATATATTCGACAGCAAACATTACTTATTATTATTTTTTACAGATTTAAGAAGTCTCTCAATTTTAAGACTTATCAAGAGTTTCTAGAGTTTTTAGCTAAAAAGAAAAATCTCAATTTTAATGAAATGAAGTATAAAATGGTGACTTGTGGTCCACCGGAATCATACAAAACGACGGTAAGTATCGCTTCTTCATTTTAATGGAACAATTCTTGAAAGGTGGGAGCAATAACGCCAATTTTGAATTCTGCTGATATTTATTCTATATTTATGAATAATCGTGAATTATCCTTTTAATGTTTTTTCCCGTTACTAACTCGTGAGGAAGACTTTTTCCCTCGACCTTTTTATTCCCTAGAAAAAAACATTTTTTGAGGATTTATTTTGCAAGATATTCCTTAATATTTACTCAGAAGCGCTTCAATACATACATGCATACATACATGCATACATATATATATATATATATATATACTAAATAATAACTAAAAAATAATAACTAAATTTGAAAAACTATTCAAAACCAATTTAGTCTTATATATATATATA